TTTTGAATAGAAAAAAAAAGTTATAGCCGCTTTTGTGGGTAAAGGACAGAGACACGCTAGAATGTATTTAATAGATTTAAATTGAATTTGCTCTTGTTACCGTCAAATGAATTGCTAAATAGTACAAAGGTACATAATTACTTGCTTCTGACATTATTTTATGTTACTTACCGGAATTCGGACTAGAGTCTATAACAAGGGCTATATCTATCAATATTTTGTGTGAAGGATGGGTTCACGTGAAATAAGATATACATGAGTTGTTTGAAGAAGATTTTTTTCATTTATTGATAAAATATGCTCAAATTGGCGACCTTCTACTCTAATACAAGCTCGGCACCTTTTAAGAAAAGACGCTTTTAGAGATCTTAAACTCAATTGGGCTATCTCAGCAGCAGCTCCATTTATTTGTTCCCGCAAATGCTCTTCGTTTTGAATTGTTTTGAATAAATTTTGTCCTAAAAATCGAATGGATTCAGGTCTGGCGATCGAGCGGGCCACGTGATTGGCCCGTATCGTCCAATCCATCGGCGAGGATAAGTTTCGTCTAAATGAGCTCTTGCTTAACGCCCGTAGTGAGCAGGGCACCCGTCATTTTGCAGCCATAGTCTTCGCCGCAGGTTTAAGGGTATATCTTCCAAAAGAGTTGGAAGCCGTTCCTGAAGGAACTCTAAGTAACTGTGAGAGTTGAGCGTTGGCGTTCCACAGGTCCCAATATCTGACAATTAAAAATACCGCACCATAAATTTATTTTGTACCGGTATTGCGAACGATCTTCTCTGATTTCGTGAGGATTGTCTATCTGCCAACTGTGAAGGTTATGTAAATTAAAATAACCATCACGTTTGCATGATGATTCATCGCTCCAAATTATTTTATTAAAGAAGTTGGGGTCTGAAACGTGCATTCGCAACATTTCACTGCAAAATCTAACCCTCGACAGGTAATCTCTCTCTCGTAGAGCCTTAACACGTTGAATGTGGTAGGGATGGTCTTTTAAAGCTTTGTGAATTGTAGTTTTTGGTATTATAGCCCGCCTTTCCATCATTCTCCCTGAAGTCTATGGACCTAGTTCCACTTCCTCTAACACAACTTTAACATGTACCGTTGCAGGACGCCCTGTCTCGCCACCACGCCTTCCAGGTATGCGACCTTAAAAAAGGTAAAAATGATAGTTAAAAGAAGAATGGCTTCAAACAAGAAAGGTGTAAAAATTGCTTACCTTCAGATATATCTCTATGGGTCCGGGCGAATACTTCACGACCCGGATGCCGGCGATTTGGGTATCACTCTGCATAGAGTCTTTGAGCAGCTCTGGCATTACAGCAAGCTTCACCGTAAATTAGGTGAATATCCGCATATTCATGCGACGTATACTGCGTGTTCTCTGTCATAGTATTAATAACACAATGTTCGAAGGGTCCAATTTCACAAAATCCACTTTCACTAATTCCGGTAAGTAACACAAAATAATGTCAGGAGCAGGTAATAAAGTACCTTTGTACTATTTAGCATGTCATTTGACGGTAACAAGAGCAAATTCAATTTAAATCTATTAAATTCATTCTAGCGTGTCTCAGTCCTTTACCCACAAAAGCGGCTATAACTTTTTTTTTCTATTCAAAA